ATGTTCGATAACGTTCTTTAAAGGCAAAAGTCAGGCTCGTGTTTCGGCATTATGGCACCTGATATTGAGTTTAGAGATGGGAGGTGGAACGATAGTGAAGAAAAAACGAAAAAAAAACTGTCGACAACACCTAAATAGAAACCCATTCCTTTCTAGCAGTGAAGGAGATTTGCTCGGGGGAGAGTCACGTCCAAACGAGTTTTCTGGATATGCCAGCCGTTCCATCGGTTGATACGGCAATCAACTCAGCTGATCTCACACGTTAGGCCAGCCACGCACCACATCCCATGGTGGGCGGCCGGAGCGCCTCCAGGCGGCGCGAGCGCTTAATGCATGCCCTGGGGCGTTATTACGGCGCCTTTTGAGATTCTGAGCATGGCAACGTCCCTGTGGGTGCGTAGCCATGCACATAGACGACTAAAGTGATTGGTTTGGTCCACTGAGCCTGACTCGTGGCTTTAACCTATATTATACGTTAGCACCATTTCCAATGTGTCGGAATTCCCATGTAGAGACGCAGTTTCGGGCAATGGAATAACATGGATCTGATAGTATGTCTACGCCGTACTTTTTAGATTCTTTCACTTGATACAGGTCTATATGACCCTTTCTTCCAGTGGGTACGACAGTAGCCCCATTGTTTCTCTCTGTAACACTGGGGCTGACGCTCTTATGAGCCCAACTGATCACTTCTCTCAGATGATAGGGGCTAAAACTGGTTCGCAAAAAGCACCTACAGTAATACAGGGGGGGGGGCCAAAAAAAAAAGACATTTTGCCTATGTCGGACTTCGGCCTCTTTTTTCTTCGCAGAGATTGCTCGTTGACGGGAGTTCCTCAGCAGAGTATTCCCTAAGTGTCCCTCTATAAGTGTACGCAGGCCCTCCTTCACTACCCTCACCGTCTTCAGAATATGACGTCATCTGTCATCGTCGTCGTCGAGCTCAGGAGAACTACAGTAGCTGCTAGCAGCCTGAATTCCTCTTTACCTAATTTCCTCGAGATCGATTTCAACGTGGACAGTTCCTAGGACATTAGCTCTGGCAGGTCGAGAACCCCATTGAGCTCGACCAGAGCACCATGTTTCCGGGGCAAACTTTTCTGATGCCGTCCACGTAGATGGCCACTATGAAGATTTTCTTATGAAATGAAATGCGCTCTTCAATTCTAAGTTGGGAGCACACGCTTTGAGCTGAGCAAAGTGTGATTAAATCCATTTGAGTCTGGAGACAAAATGTCTTTTTTATTGCTCCCCTGTACATATAAATGGATAATCGAACAATAACGACCATAGTTGTCCTGAATTTTCAACGAATGAGGATTGTAAGGGACTGGCAATTATGCAAGGAATGGAATTGTCAGCACTCGATTTTTATTTATTCACCCTCACGCTCGTAGGCGTGCCACAACCGGTAAGAAAAACTTGTGCTGATAATTTAGGCAAGTTTATGGAGAAAAAGCAGACAAGAAGAAAATGAAAAATTAAAGTAAGTTTCGAGGAGACCCCGAGAAACGCTCTCTTCTTGGATTTTTGAAGCGCAACCACTCCCGTTCCGGATTGCGAAATGAGGAACAGATGGCAATTAGGAAATATGAGCTGTCACCTTGATTGGGACCAGTCCAATCGGTGAGGAATGATCTACCAACGATTTACGTCTAGCAAGTATCCGATTATATGTTTCCAAGTATTCATTATTGTGATAACCAAGTGGCCCTCACATCGACACTGGTGAGTGTGTCTGATGGATAACTCAAACACCTTCCGTAACCCCGATGTTCCATAATTAAAGATTATAACATAGCTTCGTCCGTGCTCCCCCTTCTCAGTCGTAAGATGGGCTACACGTCTAACAGTTTCTGATGACCAATGACTCACAGAGGCTTTCCGTGAGATTCTTCTCTTCCGGTACTCGAGCGGTCTCGTTCTCAATAGTTTTCAGTACATCGCAATCAAAATTGCTTCCACCCCATCGGTTCGCCCGCTGGATCCATTTCTTTGCCTCTGTCGCTCTCCTTTTCGTAATCAGAAATCCGAAGCTCTCAGGAAGGAGTCTAAAGCAATTTATAATAGAAAGGCTTTTTTTTATCATAGCTGAGCAGAAAAGTAACGTGAGTAAATAAATAAAACTAAGTAAATAAAAATATAAAAATTCTTGAGACTTTTTTTTGGCCGCAGTTCCTCTTGCGAATGCTTTTATAGTGCGGGTTCGACTCCCGTCTGGAGCAGAAGTTTTGTTTACTGTGACAGAAGGAGTCATCAAAAAAGGAACCAACAACCTTCTGGCAAGGCCTATCCCAATTTTGACGGTATGCTGATTTGACCACTCGTCACTGGTGCTCAATCTCTGCACTCTGCTCGCCTGGCACTCTTTCGAGCGAGAAAGTATAAACTTGAACATTAAAGCTTTTCACCAGGACTGCGTAGACCCCCCTAAACTGCCTAATCTACCCCGGCTCAGGGATTTCCCAAAGTACGCCAACACGCTAGGCGAGCGATGTGCCGCGCCGCCACGTGCCCCCCCCCCACCAACCCACTTTAACAGCGAGAATTTGCCTCTACTCTGTTCTACTTGGCTCGCCAGGTTTCCACCAACCCTTTCCCCTGCGACAATACCAACTCTCCATTACGGATTCTGCGCCTCGCTCTTCACTAGGCTCTTTCGCCGCTTGGTCTGTTCCTTCGCCGCGCGCGCCGTATCTGCAGACTGTCTTTTCAAAATTTTGCTCGCATTTTTGGTTGTGGGCCCCCATGATGGCTGTACTTTCGTGTTCTTCGGCAAAACCCCAATTACTAGAATGCGCCTTGAACTGAAGCGTTGACTGCTTTGTTGCGCGCTGCGCCTTTATCCATTAAAAATGGAAATTCGTCAAAAATCGGAATTTTTTGGTACGTGGAAGTCTCTATCCAATAATGAACTCACAATAGCATAACAACACCGAAGAGTAGAGTTGGAAATGAGGTGGTGAATTGAACTGCACGCCATGATTCGAATTGTATCGCTATAGGAGTGATCAAACAATAGCCTAAAAACTGAAAGTACGACAAATTAAAATGATGTAAGTAAAAAAAATGAAAACAATGTTAATCATTTAATCAAGTGGAATAAATTGGATTGGATTTCTTTTTCAAAGCCTCTAAAATCTGACTCTAGTAAGATATTAAAAATACCATTTTCAACAATTCGCCTCATTAAAGACTACGACCCTGAAAAAA